CTATTCATCTTTCGGAAACAATGTATAAGTACCTACAAACTACAAACAAACAAGCCTACTTTGCATTGGCGTAGCCAGGTACGGGCAGGGGGGGGCAGCTGCCCCCCCTCCCCGATCGAGGAGCTTCAGAACCAAAAATTAAATAATAAATAATCCAAAAACTAAATATAAAATTTAAAAAAAATATAGAATCGCACATCACTCTCATTAGTCTCGTTACTCTAATTTCGATAGGACTACTCGTAAACAGTGAAGTGATTTCGTACGTACGTTAAGCATTTCTTGGAAGTAAAATGATGGATATAAGGATTTTTTTAAAGTCTGTAGTCTGTATAATGTTACTGTGTGTACAACTAAGAAGTATTAAGGTAGTAGGTTTTCTGTCGTAGCCACACATTGCGCCATTGGGCCCGTTTAGAAGCATTATAAAAATAAGTTAACTTCGCTCTTGTTCTCAACACAACCCACCAGCAAAAATGTTAAGTGTCCAGCGAAAGATGGAACAAGAAAATTTACATGCAATTTCAGGTGAAGTCTTGAAACGGTTCTGCGTAGAACCGAGAAAATTGCTCTTGTTTATATGAAATTTAATTTTTGTAGCGAACTTATTAGTTTCACTTGCCTGCCTGCCCCCCCTAAACTAAATCCTGGCTACTTTGTTTACATCTCATGGTTTCATTGGGGCTGAAAGTGAGCCTCAGCACTTGACCAGCCCCCCCTAGCATAAGCACCCTGATATGATATATATAACGCGTTTTCATCACGCTCAATTGTCAAACTACTATGAAGTTTGACAGTTAGACGCGATAAAAAACGTGATATAATGTAAATTGTGGTGTTCATGCTATGGGGCCAGGGAAAACATAGTGTGTAACTGAAGAAACAAAAAGCCCTATGGGTGTTTTTAGATAGTACACAAAATTCACGGGAATTATTAGAGACCAGAAAAATGTGTCATTTCATTCATAAGTACAGTTTAAAAGAAATTATTGTGCCAGTGATATATCATCAGCTCCTACAGCATTTCACCAACAAATATCACATGAACAACTACTAGGTTGTTATAAAATTTTGCCACTAAAGTCAAGAAGGTTACAATTACAGGCTATGTTACTGTATGACCTTTGCCACAATAAATATGACTGTACCGAAATCATAAATAGAATATTTTATCAAGTGCCGGTAAGACCGCGTTTATACGCGGCATGCCCTTATGGGCATGCCGTACCGCTAAACTATTTATTACAAAGTATTGTCGTACTTGGCTATGGAGAGAAGTATGTCAGGAGTAAGTCTAAGGGAAAGAATAAGAAGTGAGGATCTAAGATCTAAAACGCAAATAACAGACATTCTATCTAGAGTGGACAAACAAAAATGGAGGTGGACGGGCCACTTGCTGAGAGGTACCATAGACAAATGGAGCAAACGAGTGACAGTCTGGTATCCTAGAGATGGAAAGCGCAGGAGAGGACGCCAGTTTACAAGATGGGAGGATGAAATCTGCTGTACTCTGGGTCCGTATTGGACAAGAGTTGCAGCTGACAGAGGTGAATGGCGTCGGTTAGAGGAGGCCTTTGCCAAAAGGCACACAGAACTGCGTGACTTATTGTAAAATGTTTAATCAATGTTATGTTAAGAAAGTTCTGAAATAAAGGCTTTTTTATTTTATTTTATTTATTTATTTTATTATTGTCGTACTAATTCTGGAAAACGCTCACCTATGTACCGTCTCACCGAAGCTTATAACATAAATTTTTCAAATGTATATATTTAGTCTCAATATTTATTCATTCAAAAAATGTATTTTAAATATCCTGTCAACATGAAATCAACATCATTTACACCGCTTATTTTGAATTACATGAAAAGTGAATATAATATATATATAATATCTGCTTCAATGGGGTGTAAAAAAAACTATTTATTTAACTATCTGTGGTCAACGGTGTCGGTTAATACCTAAACCATATTATTGTTATTATTTTTAAGAAATTATTTTGTGAAACTGTTTGTTGATCCAAATAAAAAAAAAACTTTGGGTTTCATTTGAACAGTCCCCATCAAAACCCTTGACCTCCACCAAGCAAGTACGGTCAGTAACTCATCACTACTGCATCAGCCGGCATGCCGCACAGTGTATGTTTTCCAACCAAATGGGTGAGGGTTACAAATAAAAGCTACCAAACGAAATATAACTCATGGAAACCTGGGCAATACTTTTCTGAATTTAAGTATATATTACCAATATAAACAAATTCACGATATATATGAAATGAACTGTGTTTCACACCAAAAATTAGCAAATACACTTTTTATTATGGTTTTAATCATACATCAATAAAATGATAAAATATTATACTATGGGAAAATTCACTTGGTTCCATTATCAGTCCAACCAATCAATGATATATGTAATGGTGAGTACAGTAAATCTTCATAAAACAAAATTTTGATAATCACTACATAGTATAAAACAAAGTCGCTTTCTCTGTCCCTATGTCCCTTTGTATGCTTAGATCTTTGAAACTACACAACGGATTTTGATGCGGTTTCTTTGAATAGATAGAGTGAATCAAGAGGAAGGTTTATATTTATAATACACGCATAATATAGTAGAGAAACACTGATAATTTTAGAGGTTTTTAATGTAAGGTCGTAAATAAACACATTTTTTTGCGCTTACATTGCAAACGCTGGCTGAACCCAACGAGATAGATCAAAATAATGTACTACAGTATTGTACACCTTAAAAAGGTCTACAAAAAAGTCCGCGATGGTATATGCCTATCTCTTTGGTATAACCCACAATAACCATTTTTTAATTACTTATTACGAGAAAATAATGGCTTATTTACGAACAAGCGATTTTAAGCAATACAGCATTAATCCTTATCCAATTAAGTACCTTAAATACATTGTGCGTGTAATATAGATCAATATGGCCCTTTACAGCATATAATTTAAATGAATATTTTCGAAGATATTACAGATTTAAAATGCAGGAACATACCGGTTTGGGCGGTACTGGCCGGGGGGCGGCGGCGGCGCGTGTCTTTAGTAATTAGGTATTTAAAGAAAGTCATTGTGTTTAATAGAAGCTTGAGAACAAAAATATAGTCTAAACTACAGCTCTACACCGAAGCGAAGCGAGGGCGGGCCACTAGTAGAGAATAAAACTGAAAGAATAAAATCTATCAATCAATGTAGATTCCATTCATCACTTATCTACAAACACAATAGAAAATCCCCCAATTTTACTAGCATGATAGTAAGAAATAAGTAATCTCAATAATGCAAACAGCAGATAAACTATTAACTTATATTGATAAGTTAATAGTTAATATTTGTCATTGGACAAAATTCATATATCAGTTATGTAAATTAGTAAATAAGTAGCATATTTAGCAGATCACCTGTATAAATATCATGCCCATCTCATATTTAAATATACCTTAACTTTCAACACATTATCTAAGCATTGGTTCAATCCACAGATCTAAGTATGATCTAATGCAAGTTAGGGGTGTACACTTAGAAAATATATCGATACATGTATTTGATATAAAATATCGGAAAGCGATATCAATGTTTTTTTATATTGTTTGAAAATATTTTTCACATTTAATTTACGATGAGTATTACTTTAATATAATTATAGATACTACTAAGACGATGGTGAGATGATTTTTGTACATGTAAGTGAAACACTAAAAATTTATAGTCGAAATATTGTATTACAATAATACCCATTTAAGACCAATATTCTTTAGGTAGACTTGGTAGGAATAAAAGTTTACTTAGTCTTTTGCCTTCCATTCTGTTTCTTTGTTGGTTGACTATTTGAGCAGCCTTTGAAAATAACCTTTTAGATCTTGCCAAATTTCTAATAAGGTTTATTTGAATCAATTTAAAAAAAAACATTGTTAAGGTTTCTTAATTACACAAATAGTGAGTTAAGGTGGAGAAATTTATTGAAAAAAGTATTTGCCAAAAAATTTATCTTAATCGTTTTCTGAAATCGCTTGTAAAGTTTCTTAGGTAACTCAAAATTCACGGTGTATAATATAAACAGGACACTACTGTTACCAATAAAACGGAATTAGTGAGAGATAGAGAATGGAGGACTTTTATCCCTTTCTAATAGGATGACCCTAACTTTTATTTATGGGAATACAAATATTAAAACAAACAAAGAGAAGTCATGAAGGGGTAGATAAAAGATACCGTCATGAACCTAAAGCACTTAGAAGGCATATTGTTTGTTGAATTTTTTAATTTTTGGGAAAGTTTACTGGCATTATGATCTATAATATATCCCGCTTCTGATATGTAAATGATACCTTTCATTGACACTCAGTTTGCCCATCTCCTTTACTTTGGTTTTATTGTCATTATGAGTCACCATTACTTTTTTCTATTGGGTATTTATAAATTGATATATCGAATATAAATATATCAATACATTGAATAAAAAAGATCTTTTTAGAAGAAAGAAAAAGGACATTGATTCACTCAATATATTGTATGATAAATATTGAATAAATTCGATATATTGATATTAAATGAATATCCCTAATGCAAGTTAGTGTGTCCTAGATCTTGTGGCTTGTAGCTGAAATTGTAACTAATTTTAGGAATGTGTAACTAAAGCCTTTTATTAATAGAGAAAGGTGTAATTATCCTTATATTTTCCTATTACCCTTTCTGAGTAATTATAACATTCCTTCTATTGAGGATGTTTTATGTACTACGTAAATGTTATTTCATCACTTATTCAACAGCAGCACCCTCCTGTCAATGTCATCTAAGTATCACAGGACCTTGGTTTTGAATATCTATTATAACATCATTCGCAAAAACAAATTAGTGAAGGAAAAACACACTCACCACCTACTCAGTTGAAACATATCTCAATTAAATGTTGATGGAAACAACATTTTGATTTTACATGACATGGCAGAGAGATGAATATTATAGTTAAATATAGAAAATTTACTTACACAATCACCAAGCTCAAAATGAGCTTTGTATGCCATGTTGGCCTCGTCAGACAGATCCTTTATGGCATCTTCCAGATTGGCTTTATCAGCCTGTGCATCATTATTGGGCAGGATTGTTCCAGCATACGTGCTAAGAATGATGAAGGAATCGTCATCACTGTTGTTATCTACATTGGCAGCCATACTTCACCATATACCTATGGGCATGATCAACATAAAATTTAGTTTTTTTCAAATTATGCTGTGTAAAGAGAACAGTGGTCACAAAAAGCAAAACCTAGATTGAGGTTAGTGTTGTGAACATAATGCGCGAGCCGAGCGAGCGAAGCGAAGCGCCAAAAAAAACTAATAAAAGAGACCTTTTCTACAAAAAATAAATCAAGTATCACCTCTTGGGCCATGGAAGTACAGTTTTACCGATAGTTTCAGTCCCAGATAAGCATTTCTTTAATTTTATTATTAAAGTTGTATATAAGAAAATTTAAGCTACAATTATAAATAAGATATTTATACTTAGTTCGGATCGATAACATAAACAAATGGCCCGTTAAATAGGCATTATACTAGGCAGAAGATAAGTATTGTACCAAATTACGCTTTATTTGAAGCTGAGATAAACTTGGTAGTAAAATACAAGTGTCAGTGGATATCATGCACATGCACAAACAAAACTATTTCCTTCCTGCCTAAAAATATCTAGTTCTAGTGAATGAATTGAAAAAAATCCCCGATTCCAAGAACGTCACGCACAGGTATTAATTACTCACCGAATAGGTAAAATAAACAAATAAATGATTTCGGCCGAATCAATTAAACGCTTGTAACTGTGGCCAAGATCTAAACAACTCGTAAAACTGTATACAAAAGTGAATTCTTTTAAAAATATATTTTATAGCAGACACAAATTGACACAATCATAAACCGAATCCACAAATTCCACAATCATAGTAATCTGTGTCCACTACACTCTACAATGAATGAATGAAATGAACATTAATGTCCATGGGTGTATTCCGAAATATACATCAGTATACTGGCCAGTGGTAATGACGTCACGAATCCGACGCCATACTGTACTGGTATGCTACAATATTTTTACCGGGAAAACGAATATGACGTATGACCGAGCGTGCATGAGATGCATTCGAATTTTATTTCTTTTTTATTTAAAGAAAAATAATGGCATCCGAACAAAAGGAATTCTTTTTAATTGATGAGGTGAATATAAAATTTTCTTTATTCGTACTATTTTTAATATTTCGTCGATTTATGACGTCAGTGCACTGGCTAGTACATTTCGGAACAATTTACCAGTATAGCGTCGATTTATGACGTCATTAGCACTGGGCAGTATACTGGTATATATTAGGGAATACACCCCATGAAATAAATGAATGAAACCAAATGAACGATTTTGTGACATTGATCTACCCAAAGATATTTTATTTTATTTTAAAAAAGAGTGACAATATATAGTACGACCATTATGCGACCAAGATCTTGTGGCACTCAGAGACAGACATTGATGTTGATTCTAGCATGATTTTCTAACTTAACTGAAAACTAAATTTGACATCAGTGTCTCCCTATCATTCTGTATAGAGAATGACAAAGATACACTGTTCTCAAAATTAAGTTTAGGTTTAGAGACACGACCAGTGGCCGGAGTAAAATCTCCTCACTAATGCGTGTTCCTATCAGAAGTCCGGAAGATATATGTTTGGGGGAAATGTACTTTCATAACAAAACTGACCTAAAGTTTTTTTTTACTAGTAAAAGATTTACTTATACATGTACAGTGTGACCAAGATCATTATGAATGTGAATGATAGTTCAAAGAGGGCGCCACTGTCTACGTAAATGACCATAAATTATACAAAATATGACGTTTACAAAGTTGGTGGAGTCAGTTCCAATTTTCGCCACATTTATAAAGATCTTGGATGCACTATAAACGTTAAACGCTAAAAATGACAATATAATATGGTTGACGTTTAAACTAAGCAATTTTCTTTTTTGATAAAACGTTGTTAAGAGCCCTGCCGTACTGATCAGCGCGTAGGTAGATTTGCACTAGATTATATTGCATTTTATAGGTGATATTTCGAGTCTTATAAAATAATTATTAATGAACTAATTATAAAATATATATATGTATTTCAGTAGTTCAATGATGGTAGATCAGTTTTATGAAAGTTCTTGATAGTAATTCCATTTTAATTCAATATCAAAATACGAGGTTAACCTACATTATTTTTGGGAAAACTTACGGAGGTTAGATGTTTTTTTTGTTAATTAATGAGATGGAAAATCAAAAATTATGTTACAACAAAAACATATTTCTGATGTCGTAATAATTAATTTGATCTAATCTATTGAACATTATTGAGAGATTGAGGAAAATAGTATTTGCAAATATTTTACATTAACTTACAAAAGGAAGAATAAGTCTACTGTTTACTTCTATTAGAAATTATCAAAAAAAATTCTAAGGCGATAAACGAGTGCTCAAAATTTTTGCTCAAAATATTAGCTCTCAGGATGTCTTTTTTCCATCCTTAGGTGAGTCCCAAATCAAAGAACGTGACTGTACGTATTGCAGATTAATAATAGCACGCACGTTTAATCCTATTCTTAACAGACCGAGTGAAAATGCCATGTTTATTGCCGATTTTAATTAAATCGTCTAAAGGTTTTGTCTATGATCACGAACGTTTCTATGTTGTATTTATAATTAATAATTCATTCTGAATTCTTCAAAAATTTTTAGTGATTTATTTTTTTGTATTTATAATATGAAGATGTCCACAAAAATAGATATTTTTTAATTTAATTTGACATTGTTCTCTAAATACCAGAATACAAAGTTGAACTCGGCATGTAGCATGTATGCAAGGTCTCCCGCCGTAGATTTGCGAACCGATGCGTAGTTTCTCGACCTTCACATGTGCAAGGGCGTAGGCCCTACATAAACTAAATAAATGATTTTTGAGTTCAGTGTTACCAGAAAGCCATTTCTCCTTCCCCCCAAATCTTACCCCAAAATGCAAAATATTTATTAAAAATACAATATTTGCTACATAATATATATTTCTGCACAAATTACGATTAAGCAGACCAAAGATGATAGATGGTGTTGAATCGATTTGCAGTATAAGCTAACGACTATTAACAACTGACTGACTTGCTTGACTTGACATGGATTTGACTGACCGAGCGACTGAGCGAGACAGATTGGACCGACGATTTTTTTTCAGTGGATTTTGAACTTAATTATTCTCTAAAACTAATCAAATAAAATTTGGCAACAGTCTATCTTTGTCATGCTCTATACAGAATGTGAAAGAGAGACAATGGATTAATGTTGATCGCAACTTTTTACAGCTCAAAAATTCATGAAGTGGTTTTATTTTATATAAGAAATGTAATTAAAAACCCTAATTTCCCCCAAACCTAAATTTCTTCCCCCCACTAATCCCCTCAAAAATATTTTTCCCCTAACGCTTTAAAAACCCCCCAAATTTGGGAAGAACCCCCCCCCCCCCCCCAATCCGGGATCAGTTTGGGCATCAGTGTTTGAGTTTGAGTCATGTCGTTCTAATGCGACTAAGGTTTAGGAACGCAGGTCGTTATGTCACTTTCATTCATAATCATTCATTTCTGGGTGTATTCCGTAATATATACCAGTATACTGGCCAGTGCTACTGACGTCATGAGTCGACGCTATACTGGTGCATTGTTCCGAAATGTACTGGCCAGTGTACTGACGGCATAAATCGACGAAATATTAAAAATAATGCAAATAAAGGAGATTCTTTATTCACCTCATCAATTACAAGGAATTCTTTTTGTTCGGATGTCATTATTGTTCTTTAAATAAAAAAGAAATAAAATTTGAATGTTTCTCAAGCACGCTCGGTCATACGTCATATTCGTTTTCCCGGTAAAAATATGATAGCATACCAGTACAATATGGCATCGAATTCGTGACGTCATTACCACTGGCCAGTATACTGATGTATATTTCGGAATATACCCTCTATCTATCTCATTCATATTCATTCTTTGGCATGACAGTTGACAGCAGCTGTTAATAGTGCGGGCGTAAACAGCTGTGCGGGCGTAGAATAGAAATATAGCTTCTCGTTTATACATTTTTGTTACTTAACATTTTTAAAATTAATTGCCAAGAGAAATGTCCAACGAAAATACTTTGGATTTACATTACGTTCATCAAAGTTTCCAAAGAAGTCTCAAAGAGGACGATGACGTGGTCATAGAAGCTTACATAGATGGTTACAATGAACTAGTGAAGTGAGTAGACAAATTCAGATCAAATGCTTCCTCATTATATTTCTTTGATGGATTTTTAATCAATAATTAAATTCGATAAGGGAATGTTGTGTGCCCATAGATTACATGTGAAGTATGAACTTTCAAATGTTTATTTACCAATTTACCATATCAAAATATGTTACAGGTTCTTAAACTTAATAGGATCTGTGTTCTCATTTGTGAGTAGTGATGTAAAAAGTAAAATTAAAGTGATGGAGAAACATAGAGAGGGTGATGATGCTATTAACTATGAATCCTTTAAGAAGATGATGAAGTATGAGAAGGAGACTAGCCTACACGATAAGAGCGGCTTTGTGTCCGGTTCTAGGACAATGCTCCGCTTACATAGAGGCTTGGGTATGAGAACAATGCTCCTTGTTATTACACTTAACTTTAAGAACTTTCTTATCTATAATTAGGGTTAAGTACCTACAATGAAGACAAACATAATTTGACTTGTTCTCCTTTTAAAACTACACCAATATACTCTTAGCTTTTGACCAAAGTTACATTAACATAAAATTCACAAAGAGCCATTCAGATAGGAATTATGTTAGTTACTAATACATTTTTAATAGCATACTTCTGTGTTACATAATTTAATAGACAGGATATAGATTAATTTTTATTCTGAAACAATACAATCGATTCACACTCTAAGAGCTCGTTCCCACTTGAAGGGTGTCGGATCCCTATATTAATTGGAGGTTACAGTGTCAGAGCATTATATATGAATCTATTCACACTTATCGGCTTCAACAAGAATTTTCAGGTGTTCTGCCAGACCTCTACGCACGGAGAAAAATTGTGTCAGATCTCACTCGCCTATGATTAAGAGTGGCGCTGTTCATATTTGTCGGGTGTCGGGGCTGACTATCCTGCCCCTATACCCCTTGTACCGTCCGTAACGCAACCCTTCAGTCAGTAGAAATGCAGTCTCTAGGTCCTATATTTCGGTAGTTTATGTTCACTAATATTTGAGTCAGTAGATTGTTGAATATTGATATTGACATAAAGTAATAGAAACACTTAATTTCGTCACTTCTCAATTCAGTTATTAAGTTCTGAAATGTACCCAAACTCAATCTTTCCTTCATGATTATGTGCACCCAATATTTACCCTTTTCCTTGGCTCGCTTTGTTTGTTTTCCTAAATAATAATAGGTACATCATAACAAGAACTTCGTCGACATCCAACGTGCACAGTCGGCTCGCGTAGAGTGGTAAAAACTGTGGCTGACAACCGATTATCGACCGAAGTGTGAACAAAAGCGACGACATCCAATTAATATACGGATCCGCCACCCGACAAGTGGGAACCAGTCGTAAGGCCTGGGTTCCAAACCTGGGGGTAATTACCCCCCCAGAGGTAAATCAGCTATACTTTGGGGTAACAAAGAAATAATTATTTGGTCAAATCTAAATAATAAGAAAATACAGTACACCGCGCAGTAACGCACGTGGCATGCGCTCCTTCTTGCTAGCGAGACCGCGAACCCGCGGCGCTCAGTGTGGGTAAGATTTTCTCCTGATGATGACATTATTAGAGACGATGATGTAGCGCCCAAATTGGAATTTCTTGGACTGCGCGAGTGTAGTACTTTTAAAGTAGAATTTCAGAATTTATAATCTCAGCACATTTTGTATAAAATCTGGTGCAAAATATGCTGTTATAACTAACAGAGCTTTTTTAATACCCTTAGCCACCACCTACTGATTAAAAACAAAGGCCAGAAACCCTCTTGTGACACAGGACTTGAGATGTGCTTTAAGTGAAACTAAACATAATATAATAAATTGATTTTAAAATGTTATCAAAACAAACAATACAAGCAAATTTTATTAAGTTTATTAATCACTAATATATTATAATTAATCAAAACAGGCTCAATAAATTCAAATCTAAATAAGATTTGACCAAATAATTATTTGTTTCTTACCCCCCAAGTATAGCTGATTTACCTCTGGGGGGCAGGGCCGGGTTATGCCTGTCGGGGCCCCTAGGCTATGCTCATCCAGGGCCCCCTCCCTCTTCTAATTTTTACGTTAACACAACAAAATTCAAAATTACACCGTTTTTTACTAACCTGGGTATATCATCATATTATTCAATAAAAATGTTGAATCAAATGAACAGAATGTTTATTTATGCATTTATAAAAAACATACATAGCTTAAATATTAACTCTTCTAACTTTTTTTGATACAAAATCGTTCAAGATATCCTGAAAGGTAATCTTCTCCAACACGTCATTTTCAATTGCCATTATAGCCAATGAATTTAAACGGTTTTGAGACATCGTTGAACGAAGACAGTTTTTAATTAATTTCAATTTGGAAAAGTTTCGTTCACCAGTGGCATTTGTAATCATTAGACTTCTATATATTTGCAAAGCTGTCATTACATTCGGGAATGTTGACTGTGCCATGTTACCAATAATCAGTTTGTAAGACTCCTCGGCTGGCATATTTTTTTGTCCGGCGTCATCTAATTGTAAGATGAAGTATTTATACTGCACCATTTCGTCTATAAACTCAGGCTCAATGTCCTCGAAATAATGATCCTTAAATTTTGTACAAGCCTGTCTAATTTCAGCGTCCGATTTTGTCGAGAAATCTGTTAGAAACCCAAACAGATCATTTATTTCCCGGTAAGCTTCTAGGCGCCGCGACAGTTCTGTAAATAACATGTCTAGTACTGGCAAATATGTATCAACTTTTAACTTCTCTTTTCCTCTGAGCACAACTTCTTCTGCTGATCCGTCATCGTGATGCCTTTTCCTTTTTCGCTCACGCTGATTCTCATCACTGTATTGAGTATCAGTTTTCTCATTTGCCTTAGTCTCGTAGTCGTCAAATAAATCTCTCTGTGAAATTAAAAAATCTAAAAGCGATTTTAAAAGATCGACTGCTGTTCGTAGTTCAATTGTTTTCTTTTGTAAAGATATGCTGACACCATTGATCCGATCTAGTATGGCAGCCCAGAATACGGCCATTACAGCATTTTCTTTTTTTCTTAAGTCATTCAATAGACGTTTAGCTTCGTGAATCGCTTGTGATGTCTGAGTCTCATCGCTAGCAATAGACTGCAAAGCTTTCTGAAAACTGTTGTAACCAGTTGCCAAAGCCTTAGTAGCATCGGCCCTTGCACACCATCTTGTATCGGATACACTTTTCAGAACCAATGACGAATTATGCTTACGTTCATCACGTTTTTCAAGATTTTCGAGCATAATTGCCCAGCGATGAGTTGATGCCGAAAAAAAGTTGTAGGTATATTGCCTGTACAAATCCGAAGAATGAGATTGCTCCAACGCAGCTTTCCGCTGCACGTACTCCAACCAAATTCAGTGAGTGCGCTGCACAGGGAACGTAGTGTGCGAGGTGATTTATTTTCTTTATATGCGCCTGGAGACCATTGTAACGACCAGACATATTCGACGCATTATCATAAGACTGACCTCTCAAATTTCTTACATCAATATTATATTGGCTTAAAAAATTTAATATTTCGGTGGCTAGTTCTTCCCCTTTGTGGTTCTGTATGAGAAGAAATTTAAGAAAACGTTCAGCCACTTCTCCATTCGACGTAACATATCTCAGCACTACAGTCAACTGATCAGTGTGTGATATATCAGGTGTCGAATCGACACTTATTGAGAAGTATTTGGCTTCAATAATTTCATTAACAATATATTTTAAAACCTTATTTCCCAATATTTCAATAAGTTCCTCACAAATCGTTGCAGATAAATACGATTGTTTTCCTTTGCCTTCATTACCATATTTTGCTAAATGCGAACTAAGAAAAGGATCGTACTCTGCGATTAACTCTAAAATTCCCAAATAATTGCCATTATGTTGAGAACCGAGAATTTCATTGTCACCACGAAATGCTAATCCACGGGATGATAAAAATTTTATCACAGAGACTATTCTTTCTAAAACTTTTTTCCAATATTCTTTTTCTTTATTAAATGTAATCTCTAAAGAAGTGTCGATTCGTCCGTGAATGCGTCGTCTACTTATGAGTGTCTGTACACATACTCGGTGAGTTGCATTATTCTCATGCGATTGGATTCGGTGCAACGCATTTTTCCAATCAGAAAATCCAGTTTGAAATTGTGATCGGTTTTGTGCTTCACCAAAAAGGATACATGGAAAACAGTATACTTTTCCAGTAGACGGAGAATACATGAGCCACTCCCGTTTGATTTTACCACCACTGATGTGTTTCCGAAAAAACATAGACTGAGAAAAAAATCTTTTACTGTCGTCGTACTGTCGGGCCGAAGCAGAAAAATTACAATCAAAGTGTTGACATTCGTTAGGGTCTCTAGTACACCAAAAATCTTGCATTTCGTTGGTAATATTTTGCCATAAGCCAATGTCATTCTGGTATTCCACCCCTAGATGAACTACGTTTTGATGTATGACCCCTGTCTCGGCCTCACCTTCCTCTGCACTGACTAACGTAGGTGTTTCTTGATCCTGGCCAATCTGTTCAAAAGGCTCGCAAGGAACCTCTACTGGGTCTACTTCCATCTTGTGGCTGGTAGAAGACGTACTTGGAGTGTCATGAGGTTGATGTTCCTTTAATTCGCGACTAAATCCGAGTTCGAAAAGGTTTTGTGTCTTCTTTAATTGTTCATTAAGTTTATTTTGTTGCTCTTGCCGCTTTTTACGTTTTTCGGAACCACTTTCATGCTTTTTCTTTACGGGTACCTCCGACATTTTGTTCCTGAAAGGAATAATCTTTTGTTTTAAAACAGTAAAGAAAATTTCACCTTAGCAGCTCAAACAATATAATAATAATAATAGTTTCCTGCTTAATATTAATAAACACCCAAAGTAAAAATATTTAATAACATAGAAATTAATTAAAATATCCAATTGAATAATAAAACGACACTTCACATTTGTCAAATCCTGTATCAGGTAATAAAATATGTAAAAAATAATAAAACTTACGTAAAGTAATTTTAACTTCAGTTAATGAAACTTTAGTTTCCACTACACTGTTTTTAACCCGTCGTTTCACCGATTTTCACAAAGCCTGAAGCACTTCTGCAGTCTTTATAAATAAATATCCAACACTTATCCTTAAATTCGTAATTTTTAAAACACAAATTGTAAAACTCTCTTTTTATTCACAGCCGTGAAACTTGCAAACGAATTGCACGAAGTAAAAATTGAACGATTTAATTGAAAATGGTTCGAAAATAATGTCTATGACACATCATACAATACGTATTTAACGACTCGGGGAATTCCCCGGTCATGCCAACGAACCAGTACTGCCAACCTTATGAAAGTAGCTTGGCCATAGAATATACATACTTGGTAGGTACCAGTATAGTAAGTGTGCATTCACAACAAAGAGTTTTGAGCGTTTTTAATTAAATTACCGCGATAAAATTGCTTGCAATTATATTACTGCGTTATAAACTTTTAAACTATCATAATAATCATAATAATAATATCTAATAAGGAATGCGTTCCGAAATGTACTAAAATAGCGTCGATGTAATGTACAGAGCAAATTTTCAAATTAATTTTTTACTGTTTAAGAAACATTGCCTATTCTTTTCCCTGTAGCACAGGGGCCCCTGAACGTGGCAGGGCCCCTAGGCAGTTGCCTATAATGCCTAATGGATAAAACGGCACTGCTGGGGGGTAATTACCCCCAAGTTCGGAACCCAGGCTCTATAACCTTCTAAAAGACCTCAGCCTGTCGAGAACTGCAGTAAGTTCAATAGGCTCCTATAAAATTTGGCGTGTTGAAGCATTGAAAAGGGGCCTCCTTAAACCTACACAAGTTCCGGAAACTGCTTAGTGTTTCTCTCTCTGCCACACCATTTATCCGGCACCCTCGCAGTGTATCCATGGATTGCTAAGAAGTTTGTCTCTCTCAATCTTGGTAATAAATTATATGTGTGCCAAATTTTATTCAAATCCGTTCAGCCGTATTTGCATGATTGAGTAACAAACATACAAATATGCAAACTTACAAACTTTATAACATTTATATTAAGATAGAATTTCTAAAAAAATATAATGATTGAATTTCTTCTTTGTAATAAAAGTCTAATTTGAATTATTGTAGATTTCATTAGACTATTCTTGAAACGCCTTGCTGAAGAAGAAGATGGGTTGAGTACATGTGGAATGTGCCAGTTCTCATACAACGAGACCCTGGCGGAGTTCCACCCCTGGTACATTAGGAAAGCTGCCACATTAGCTATGCATGCCTTACCATCTAAACCAGACTTGTTGAAAAAGGTAAGTTATTATACAAGTAGTATCCATTTATTAACTGTCAACTATAATAACAAACTAGCCTGAAAATCAAGTTTATGTTTAGTACATAAACTTAATACAGGACCCAGGCAAAGCTACTTTTCGCCGCCCTTTATTATGTGCCGAGAAGGAAAACATACAGCATTGCAGAAAATTATTCCTGGTGAAGACTATGACTCCGTTAATGGCGGCTGCGCCCTTGCTCAGTGTTACCAGAAAGCCATTTCGCCTTCCCCTCAAATCTTACTCGAAATCCCCCCAAAACACGGGGTTTTAAAGTAAAAGCCCCTCAACATGCAAAATATTTATTAAAAATACAATATTTACTACATAATATGTATTTCTGCACAAATGACGATTTAACAGAGCAAAGATGATTGATAGTGTCGAATCGATTTGCAGTTTAAGCTAACTTGACTAACCGAGCCAGCGAGACGGATTGGACCGACGATTACATTTTTTTATGAAGGCTTTGGACTTAAAGGTCCGAATCCAGCATGCTTCTCTAAGCCTAATAATGACAACAGTCCATCTTTATCATGCTCTATAGATTATGAGAGAGAGAGACTATTGATTGACTGTTGATCGCGACTTTTTACAGATCTATAGTTTATAAAGTGGTTTTATTTTTATTTAAAAAATGTAATTAAAACCCCCCAAAACTATTTCCCCCAACACCCCCCCATGAATTTCCCAAAAATATTTTCCCCGCAATGCTTAAAAAACCCCCAAATTTGGGGGAATCCCCCCAATCTCGCATCAGTGACCTTGCTGGTGATTGCAGCGACACCTAGCGGCTTCTTAGAAACACGAATTGTTTATGGTTCATGAAATAGAGTACATAAATGAAGTACACACTGTTTCTTCAAAATCAATGCTGTATGTTTTCCAGGGGCACATCAATAAATACATTTTATGGATTCCCCAAAAATGGTACAAAATACCTACTTACATCATTTTTTTGAGTTTTTTTTTGCTTGATATCAAGTAAATTTACGACCAATGGGTCGGTTTTTACTTAATTGTAGTAATTAAATCGAAAGAAAATTCTCACAAAAAAAATCTTTTGATTTATAAATTTAGCAGTTTATTATTATTTATGGTATCTATATTTTTACTAAAACTGATAATGTGTTATCATTATCTATATGTTGTATTTTATTTATGTTTAATTGTTATTATTTAAATTCCAGATTTTTGGCTCAGAGGAAAGCTTGTTTGCTGCTATGGAGATATTACCCCAAACCCTCGGGTCTTGCGACGAAGTGTACAGGCGAGTCGAACAACTTTATACGGACTTTTCATTCCATGAGTTGCCATAAGTACTATATACCAGAGCTATGTGTGAAAGTAGAGTAAGTATATAGTAATACGCAAGTGTTTTTATATATCGTATGAATGCATAATACGCTCAAAAGTTTGCCCTTTGAAGGAATCAGTGATAATTCCGTGAGACAAAAAAGTTAACACTTTTATATATGTAAATATATATAAATTCTGTTTCATGTGACATTGTCCTATCCTACTTTAAGTGTTGCCAGTGAAATGTACAATTTATTTACCATTAAGGTAATTCCTGTACACATACAAATTATGCCATTATTATGTTTATACGTAAGTGAAGATAAGTTAAAATATGTATGTGGCGTAATTTATCATAAACATGCACTGCCATCAAATCATATGAATATCATAAATCATATAAAAAAATGAGAGTATCTATTGAAAATTTTTCTACCAATTTGGATGATTGTTATTTTTTTTGTGTTCATTATTTCGAGTCAAGGTTGTTAAGAATCCACCAGAAAACTATATCTGCACCGGTTTTGAGAACCGAGCAGATGTAGATAAAACCGGGGCAGGTACATAGCAAATGAATCATTTTAAAGCACAGCGCAATTTTATTTTTTCTTGTATCTTTTTTCTTATAATTAAAAAATGGTTTCCTTTAACTTTTCCATAATGCAGTTCAGACATAATTCATATGTGTAGGTTTATATGTATATATGTATTATTAGCAAAGAATAAAAAAAATATTTTATTGAAAAAAAATATGTCACAAAAAACACTATACCACGCTATACTTATAAGATATAATAACATAAAATACATGTTTAATACATACGCGAGAAAAGTTCAATTTTGCATGTTCACTGTAAAAAAAAAACTGCTGCTGCTGAATATCTGAGGTTATATCTTATGTCTAAGAAACGTTTTTTTTTATGAAATATTCTACAAAAATAAAAGTGCTAAACATCTTATTACAAATTCACCATTTTATTTTTACTTATATACGTACAGCTCAGTTTTTTTAAGCTAAACGATTTTGCAGTATTTAAGTGTTGTTCTTTTCTGATCTCAAGATAACACTTAGCACTTAAAACGCATTATAATAAGATCTTTTTGTATATTGTTTATTTTCTATTTAATATAAGTATATTTTTCGAAAGCTGTTTTTAAACAAAGTAATCCTTAAATAAAAGTAATTAAATCTAAAAATAAATCTCCCAAAAAAATCTTTTGATTTATAAATTTAGCAGTTTATTATTATTTATGGTATTTATATTTTTACTAAAACTGATAATAATAAATGTAAACTAATTATAATAATAATAATAATTGTTTATTTCAGGCACAATAACCTATATAAAAAATTACAATTACAATTGCATTTTGTCCCATTTTATCTTAAAATTAAATCGTTGTATCACAACTCGTCAATTATTCTTACTAAATTCAAACAATAATAATAAAAAAAATAGAAATAAATAAAATATCATTATTACTGAATTTAAAATATTAATAATAAACAATCAAAACTATATGACATAGGACATATTTTGTGTTATCATTATCTATATGTTGTGTTTTATTTATGTTAACTTAAATGAAGAGTTGCGTGAACATTGTGTGTTATATAAGTAAGATAAATTATGTAAAAGGAATAACGGTCCAGATGAATCGAGAACTTTCTCCTTCTTAAAAGTCGGTTAAAAATTAATATCCAAGCGGTATCGACTGTCGTGGCGTATACTTATGTGCCTCTCTTTTTGACGTACCTCTAATCGTATTATCATTATAATTAAATACTATCTAATCTTATCGGTCAAGGTAATCCGTTGATAACAGATATTATGAAAGACGTAAACAAGTTAAGTTTTATTAATACATAATTAAAGGTGTTTTGCGTTAAATTTTCAAATTTGTTTTATAGGTTTTCACGCACACCATTCATTAAATAAAACAGGGGGCCAATCGCCTAGCGGAAATGCTTTGGGAAACGCTAACGCTTACGATTTTATATTGTTATTTCTAACCGCCTGAGGTTTTCGAATACCTCACGCTTTTTTTTTTTAATATTGTTATTACCAATGCAAAAGAAAAAGAAAGAGCGCGAGGCATTTGAATACCTCAGGCGGCTAGAAATAACAAAATAAAATCGTAAGCGTTAGCGTTTTCCAAAGCATTTCCGTTAGGCGATTGGCCCCCAGGTCTATACGGGTTAATTGGGTTAATTTATTACTTTATATGTTTCGAATCCGTTTCAGGGTGCGTCGTCAGAATGAGGATCATACTAGGTCAGAAAATCAACTCAAAATCAACAGTATAATGATCTAATAAGCTTTTTAATTAATATACTTTTTAATTTACGAAATCGGTTCAATCGTTGCGATTTTTTAACTAATTTATGGTAGCCAATATTCACCGGCGGCCGAAACGGGTAACGTCACAGAGCTCGATCGTGGTTCACTCCGGTCGAGTTTCAGTAGCATCTCTACGCACATTCGCGCCCGATAGTTAGAGCTCTGTGACGTCACAGCCACCACGCGGCCAGCCGAAAATTCGTTTAATTATTTGGTCATAACTTCGTCAATATTTGTCCTAGAACAAAAATTTATCACTGTATTTTATGTATGTATTGTACATACACTGTATTCTTTACTAAAATCGTTACGGATCCTCATTATATGTAATTCGCTTTTTTTTCTTACTTACACGTTTCTGTGAAAAGAGTATAAACAGTCACCTACGGTATTCGAATAAAAAAATAGTTCAGTACCCCAAGAACGAACAACTAGTATTCATATCGCCATCGTCAAAGTTTCTATGGAATGAGCTATAATGCGATTCAACTAAGAATAGGACCGACTGGGCGCCATATTTTGACGTCATAGCTGTCAATTCAAACCAAATAGGTAGAGTGATCAAAAAAATGTTACTATTTAATAAAACTTATTTACTAAAATTAAGTGAGACAAATCATCAGATTTAAAAAAAAAAAATTTACGAAGGTTGAGAAAGAACACAACCGATTTTTAATAGTATTTCTTTATTAAGACTGTGTGAAAAAAAACATTATCAGAATCTAGCTCAATTTCGCTCATCTCTGCATTACCGCCGGAGAAGTTATGAATAATCATGCAGGTCACATACGAACATGCATCCTATATGTAAACGAAAGTTTTAAATTGAGTTTTTGAACGCAACATAAAGAGACATTTGGTTGACGATTTAGGTTATCAACCATTCATAGCCAAAGCTCAATAAATGAAAAAAACAACTAATATTAATTATCAACATTTGTTATTGTTTGTTTAAAAATGTTTGGTTTTTTAATTCTAGAATCAACTGAGTGCTAAAAAAGTGTTCCGCGATTTTTTGCAAACCGTACTTTTCAAGCGACATTTGACAGATGGAGGTCATTGGCTTTCCTATTCTTATTTGAATCGCATTATAGTTTGTTCTTACGTTCGGTAAGTGCGCTGCTTAAAGCCCATAGAAACTTTCTCGCTAATGTTCGTACAGTACGTCGATCCGAGCGTCGAGTTACGATTGTTGTTCAAATCAAATAATTGGTCAAATTTGATAAATATCCAATAATAAAGGTTTAGGACAAAAGTAATTGAATGTTTACGCTTTGTTACAACATTTTTATATTAATGACAAATAAAAAAGTTACTACTGCGCGAGATACATCGGTAGTTATATTAGTTACACTAAATATTTATTGGCTAAGTTTTTGCAGTTTATTATATATTTATTTTAAGCATTAAACTGCTAGATTGATAAATTGAAAGAAAAAGTTACGAGAAAAATAATAACATAAGTATCTGTGCTGTATTTTTATTATTACTAGGTATTATTGAATCTAATTACATTATGTTTACCTTTAACTAATTTTATTTATTATGTTTATTAGATATTTTTTTATTTTTCCACGAAGATCATCCGTTTAGAACAGACACAGATATGTATATTTTAAGCATTAAGTATCAACAGTATGTTTTAACCTATTTTAATTAAATGTTAATGTACTAAATAGTTACAATTAAGGAAGTACTACGATCTCATTACCATTTCAATAATTGAAATAGAAAATAATCTCTCACTATGTTTGTGATAGGTAGCAGGTACACACTTTCACATTTTAACAAAAACAAATAATGGCTCGATTGATATAGGTAACATAAAATTATGAAAAAAAAATACAATAGATATTAGAACAATACTAAGAGCCAGTGGGCATTTCGCTTTCCGGTATCAACCATTCATTTCGCTATTTTAGATTCGTTTCTTTATTGGCACCACAGAACACAAAGAGTTTTGTACGGGAACCGATGTCGCCGACTCGCCCCCACTACACTTCCACCTAATAGATAATAGCCAATCAAACGACGCAACATCAAACAATCGAACCAATCAGCGCTCATAGCCGAGAGCAACGACGCAGTCAGAACCAAGTTTTGAGCATTCGCTAACACATAACTGTGGCGCGCCTGCCCCGTCCACAAAGTCCTTCTAACCTTTTTCTGTGTTCTGTGATTGGCACGAGTTAAAAGTTAATATTGCCATCACCATGTTATTTTATTGCACAGCTGTATTTTTTGTTTCTATAATTAAGATCATGTAACATTAAGATTACGTCAAGGTCCGTTTGTACTTTTTATACGTTTACCGTGAAGTACAGTAATGTATTTATTAGATTAATAAGATTGTTTAAAAAAAATAGATTAAATCTATGCACGTATTAAATAAGTCGAGCTAGGTACTTCCCTTTTTCAAGTTACAGAGTACTTGTATCATTTTCAATCAAAGAAATGTTTAAAGACTCTCTCATTTATAACTCAACTCATTTATAGGTAGACCGCTTAGCTGAGTCCTCGCCTGCGGGGTAAAGGGTGTGGGAGAGGACGAGAACGGGGACCGTGAGAGGTGCGGGAGACAGGCATATTGTTACGTGTCGGGATGGGGTTCGAAATTATATGCTAGTTCACTCTTGTCACTACTTTATTCACCACACAGTTAACACACAATGTTAATCACAATACACTCAATAAACACTGTATTTCGCTACACAAGTCTTTAAACAATCGCACTTGAACACTTTTGATGCACTTTGATTGCTTTCGTATTCGTTCCGAAATCGTTGTTGATACTCAACTCAACTGTCTCTGCGCTGCGCGATCGCGCTTCTATAAGCCAATCGACGCATTCTAGAAAATATCCGTTAAATTCAGAGTTAGCTAGCACCCGCGAGTGCGTAGTAGCTACTTATACCTACGTAGGTAATGCGCATAATATGTAAACAAGTGCAGATATCGTTGTACTTTCCCCCTTACGCCGCACTGCATAAGGCTTATATTAGAATGACCCGCACCGATCGACCTTTATCGCGATCCGCTGTGTTCTGGTAAATTCGGTCTCTAGTATTTTTGCGGTTTTGTTTCAAGAGCGTTTGTGACAATATTCTTGTCAAAATAACAAGCGCTCGCCGCCCGCACCTCTCAGTTAAGCTGTCTACCTATAATTAGTTTATTCATACATTACATACATTTATACATAAAAAAATACTATTTTTCGCGAGCTCTAAACAGTGTTAAATTGTCTATTAGTTTATCAATTTGGGCTCAATTGTAACATTTGCTCAGATGTATATTTCAACGTAGCTTTTGATAACGAAACGTAGAGATGTTGTAGCAGTCTATCGAAAATAACGTGTACCTACCGCGTATATTAAATAAAGTTCATAATTGTAATCAAAATTGATTGAGCCACAAGTTGTAAATCGTCGAGAGCGCTTTTGTTTTGGAATCCATGCAGCTTAATAAGTATAATATTTGCTTAAGTGTGTAATAGCCGAATCCTTTATATTGCTACTGTAATGGAAAAAATAAGCTGTTGTTATAACGCATATTGATTGCCTCAATGTGATGTGTGATCGTGAATATTCGATTGTATTTACGCCGTTGATTGTTTTTGATTAGCCAAATTGGCTCGTGGAATGAAACACACACATAAGTACCTTATAAGACATAAAAGAACTTTTTGTAAGTATCTATTTGAGTATGATGTAGAGCAAAGAAGGGCACGGTATTTTTATAATGCCGTCGCCGCTTCACAATGCTTTCCGTATAAAATATTGGTTTTTGTATAATAGTCACTCTTCTTTTTATTTCATAAAAAGCAGGTAACGATTTAAATGGATATACTGTTGTCAAATTTACAAAATACAAAGCAAATACGGATCGTTGTGAAGTGCTAACATAAGAATTAATTAATGCTACGAAGGACCAAATTAGGCCCCCTTAGAATATACTCAAGTGACCTGCCTCAAAAATTCTCGTAATTTTTTGCTACAAATTGACATTAAGACAGTTTCTACGGACCTGTAGAGAAGAAGAGACCGATATTTTTTTTAATCAGGTCACTATTACAGCTTGTTCATACATGGCGGAATCCGCGCGGATTTAATGGCGCATGGTCCGCGCCGAACAGTATGAAACGTTGTAGTATCATGCCATTATAATAAGCTCTACGCTGACCTACGGTTGACCCGCGTGGGTTCCGCCGTGTCTGAACTAGGCCTCGCTCTGAGGGCATGGGTTTCTTACTAAACTTCGAGTGTTGCAAAATGAGAAATTAATTTTAAAACGAATGTAAAATTATCTGGACTGCCCCCAGGGTTGCCATTGCCGAGACGTCGTAAATATTTAAACGTCGGGATTTTGTGCATAATGAGAAATTAATTTTAAAACGAATGTAAGGTTAACTTGCCATATCGAGAAGTGGTAAATTTTTAAATGTCGGGATTTTGGGGATGTTATCTGTCGTCATGTTCCTTTGTCGGTAGGTCGTTATGAGTCACGAGATCGAATAATATATCGGGAGAATCCAGGCGATTCCCAACCATCTGGCAACTCTAGCTGACCTCCAGGAAAATCCCTAGCTGCGCCAATGTCTAAGGGCGCGCAATATTAGTAGCATACTTACACTCACTGAATATAATAAATTATAATCATCTCAAATGTATCTCTCTCCTGCGGCGCTATTAAAATGTGATAACTCCATAGATTTAAATATTACGCATGGGTTAATGTAGCGACTACCTATACCTTATATTGAACAAACAAAACAGATCCTTTTCATTACTGTAATATTCGTATTTTCGGGCAAGTATTGTAAGGATTACGGAATTATTATAACAATAGGTGCAATTGTTTGAAAAAAGCCTTTGCTTTAAACTGTTTGCATGTTATGCAATATTTAATTTTACTGTTGCATCCAAAGACGTCAATTAAAAGTAATCATCAGTAATGTCAAAATAATGTGTTGACTTATTCCACTGCTAGAAAAGTGACAGCATTAAATAGGTTAATCAAAATTTATAATTAATTGACGTCTTTGCGTGCAATTTATATTTTAGTTTGGAAACTAATGTGTGATAAAGTGACTAATGATTCTCGATTACACTCACAAAAATCTCATTGATTGATCAGGAAACAACCTTAATATTATGATACCGAAGTGTACTTTAGTCTATGGGTAAATTCTGGCTAATATCGTCAATATCTTAAGTAATTAAACAGCATTTTTTTTTACTGTCATGGCCTTGCTTGACTGTATACAAAGAAATAAGCCATCAATACATGTACTTAAAATTAAGTGTAATACAGAATTGTTGGTTATCGATAGAAGCAGGGCCGAATTCAAGGCAAGGTATGCGATGTTGTGGCCCAGCAGGGGCCCCCAAAACAGAGATAAACAATAATTAAATTTCGATTGGTCGTCAAATAGGGGTCCCCGACTCCTGTCGCAAGGCCTGCACACCCCTAAATCCGGCCCTGGATAGAAGAGTTCCTTTTTAATTTTAGAAATCGCTATTTAATATAATTTGAATTGAGAAAATTTATAAATGTATAATTTTATTGTAATAATTGTTTAAATGTATATAATTTTGAGTTTTCTGTCCGTCTCCCGTGTTCTGTAGTACATTCCCAGACTTTTTCTGATTAGATGGGACACGAGACGGATATTCTGTAAGCGAATTGAGATTTATAATTTGCAAATAAATGTTTGCCAAGCAGGTGCGATTTTTTTATTATCTCCAGCTATTTTTTCATTTGCAGATAGGAACTTCATGTTGATATTTTATTATGCAACGTGGTATAGGGAAACATAAAAGTTCGAGAGTGCGTATGCTCATTGGATGCACATTTTTTTTAAACAATAACATTTTCATTGGGTATTAGGACAAAGAATATTGTAATAACCATTCCGTTGATCTCAAAAAATTGTAGTGGCCTGAAAATGCGTTGTATTCCGTCATGTAAATTGGCTACAAGTTTGTGTTTTATTTTGCTGTATAGTGTATGTATACCAAACTTCCAAGGCCTATGTTGCTTGTGTATGTATGTGACTGGTTAGGTCACAGTTAGGTACAGAAGGTAATCTACATACAAAGTGCGCTCGAGCACCCAACCGCACACACAGACACCGTTCACGGACACGATATCTCGAACCCTGCGATTTCCATCCGCTTGAGAAACGGCTCTGTAGTAATTAAACGCGGAAAAATAGAGCAACAAAACCGCAACAACCCATAAGCAAACTTCAGCGCGCCTTGCGCGTACAAGGCGTATAAAATGGTCTCGATAAGTAATGGGACATTTAGATTAAATCAAAATTTGTTATTAGCACTTAATTATTCTTAGTGTATTGTTGTGCGAGCCTATTAAATAAATAATATCCTATTTGATATATTGAAAATGGACCCAACAAAATTCTCTTACAGAGCGCGGGGCGACCGCGCACTCACACGGCTACAATAAATATACAATACAAGGCGTATAAAATGGTCTCGATAAGTAATGGGACATTTAGATTAAATCAAAACTTGTTATTAGCACTTCATTATTCTTAGTGTATTGTTGTGCGAGCCTATTAAATAAATTATATGCTATTTGATATATTGAAAATGGACCCAACAAAATTCTCATACGGGGCGCGGGGCGACCGCGCACTCACACGGCTACAATAAATATACAATACTGTCACAAGAGACTTCTGACATGGTAATATATAGATAATATTACCGTGCTTCGGACGACCTCCGTGGCCAAGTGGTTTGTACTCCGGGTTTAAGGCTATGCGCGCACTGGTGACTTTTGTCAACGTGACTGTTTCGTCACCGGACCTATAAGACTATAAGTTCAAATCCTGGTGCGGGCAGATGTTTTTGTGATGAATACGAGCATTAGTACTCCAGTCAAGGATGTTTAATATGTATTTCTATAAAAATATACTTGATATATGTACAGTATAATGTATTCTATCCGTTACCCTAGTATCCCATAACACAAGCTTTATAGTGCTTACTTTGGGGCTAGGCTAATTGGTGTGTTGGAAATATTTATTTATTAATATACATGCAATTTTGCCGACCCACAGGGAGTGACAAGCATGTTATCCCGGCACCGGCGACGGCACTGGCGGGAATCAACGGCCCGGTGCCGTCGGACACGACGGACTTCGTTCGCGTTAACTTTAGTTTTTTTGGAATCCTTCAGGAACCTAATTTTTTTTTACCCAAATCTGTTCAGCCGTTTTTGCGTAAATGAGTAACAAACATACTAACTTTCATATTTATAATATTAGTAAGATTATAAAGCCTACCTAACGTCTGTAGCACGGTAATATTATCTATACAGTATTGTGACTCCGCCCTGTCCTTGAAATAAATGCCTACGGCCGAGCGCTGCGTTAGCACGCGGTAGGGCCGCCCGCCTACAGTATTTTAATTTCATCTACATAATTGAGGTTCTTTCTAGTTTTGTGATTGTAAATATTTTATTTTATATGGAAAGATTCCCCGCAAGCCCATATACCCTTATCGTAGGAATGCATTAAAAATAACTATTCCGCCATGTTGGATTTAGAATGACGTCACACAGCTAACCGTGCTTTTTGATCAAAACGTGTATATACAAAATTTCAGCTCAACCGGTTGAAGATATCTGCTTCAAAATTGAGTTTCAAGATTCCACCCGAACAACAAAGTTATATACCTACCTATATTGCAAGTTAATTAAAAGCTTGTAATAAACCCGACTGCTGATTTTTATTCTTACATAATTCAATAAAAGAATATTATTTTAAACATACAAGTTATATTTATTTGTAAGTTATGGCGCAGTCGGGTAAGGAAATTACCTACAATGTAGGTAAATCTTACTAGGTAGGTACTGTAGGGATCGTTTCATGCAAACTAATTATTGTCATTGAAACACTTTTATTTTCAAGAAATTACATTATTTTTATCAATAAACAAAATACTGTTTTTTAAACTCCGCACAAATCTTCCTATTTTTTATTTTCCAGCTATGAATTCCTGGCAACAATCCGTCTCTTTTCCAAATTACCTTATAACCTGCCAGTATACACCAAAAAGATCCGATCACTACAATACCTACCATTTATTACTCTCGTAAATTATTTCATAATGATATTTAATTTAATTCAATAATGTATGTAGTTTAGTTATTCAATAATGTATGTAGTTAAGTAAGTAGATAGCCTAGTCGAGGAAACTACCTACCTATTTTATGTAGTTTTGTTTTTAACGCGAGTGTAGGTAGATTAATCGTTTGTCTCTTTTTTCATCCTAACCACTTATTTATATATTATTCCAGATATTTTGCCCGATGGAAAAATCGAAATACCTAAATATTAGAAACAAATTACGTACTAGTAGATACGTATATAAAAAATATTCTATAAAGGTAAGACACCTTTCCAATATTTCAGGTAATTTAAAAAATGATATCTCTGGGTGTGTTATTGAAGAGTTCAAGCAACCAAAAACATCAATTGTGCTGTTGTATGATATTGATCGTCGTTTGTTCTTTTCCATACTAAATTATGTAGGTATCTACTTAATTCAATCAAATATTTACAATACAAAACGCACGTTTAAGCACGGCTAACTGCATAAAAAACAATTCACACCGTTCGGTCGTCGTTGCGGCGCGGCGGCGCATTCGCGACTACTGCCCGCCGAGAGCCCATCGAACACGAGTGGCGTAGGTATGACTCGTTTTACCGTTTGTATGAAGATAGAATACTGTATGATATTATTACCGTGTCTGTAGTCAGTATGGGCAACACAGCTATGTGAAGTGAAAAAATATTATTATTACAATAAAACTACAATTATAATATATTACATATTGTATTCAACACAAAGTTAAGCATAAGGAATATAACGATAAAATCAACAAGATTATTATCAACTAAATCAATCACTTTGGGTTACCTATTTTAGGTATACTTATAATATTAGTAGACATAGTTCAATCCCCTCTAGCATGACCACCGAAACGGCATTAACTATCAGGCTACAGTGGAGTTTGACAGTAGTCTGACAGTTAATGCCGATATATCGCTTTATCATATCCCGTTTCGGTGGTCATGCTAGAGGGGCAGACCTCTTTATTGAATATATAAATATCCATCTATGTCTACTTTGCATCGAGAAATTAAATAGTATAGTAATATTTCAGCAGTCATCGATGATAAAAGCTAGATAACAAACTCAACGAATTAGAAATAATATGGAATACGAATTACGCTAAAAAGTGGTTCCACGCAAATTGCGATCAAGTGGGCGGGGCGAAAAAACTGCGATCCATGGGATGCGCCTGTCATAGGATTGGTTGAGATTTCCGTTTAACATTATCTTACCCAATGAATGGGTAGCTGAATTCATTTGCAGATATTTGATTTGTCAAAGTATTTTGTTCTGTCTGTGTGCGTGTCGCGTTAGTATTGCGGTTTTGGTTGTTATATATGTTTGGAACCATGTTTTAGCGGCCTTTGCTAGAAAGTAATGCTTCCATATTATTTCTTATTCGTTGCAACCACAACATTGCTTCGAAAGAACTAGTTCCTTTTGGAAACCGGTCGACATGATTTTTTTACTATTCAATTTTATCTTATTTCAATTCGAAAGATTACCTTGCTATTTAAATTGATAAAAACAACTACAGACATCAAAAATGGCTCCCAAAGAAGGGAAATATTTAAATGATCTTTAAAAAATATTGAAATAAAAAATTACAATTGGTAACTTAAAGGTTAGGTTAGATTACCAATTTTATTATTTTATGTGCCGTAGAAAAAATTAAGTTACATCAAAACGAAAATCAAAAGTTTTCAAGTTTATTATAAATAGCAAATAATTCTTAAATAAGTGTTATCACATTGATAATATTTGTATTATGAACTATGACAATAATTAATATACCTAATGATTCTAAGCGGTTTTTTTCTATTGACAAAATTATATACAGGAGGTGTACCTATGTACAAATTTGTTTAAAAAAAATATGCATTTTATTAAAATCACAGTATTCAGAAATAATTCAGTAAAATTTTTAAGTGAGTACTAAAGGTCATAGCGCACCTGAATCACCCGCCCGATCATTCTATGTATATTCTTTGTATGGATTTTTTATTTATTGTTTTTTTTCCGGGGAGTTTATCTAGCCATTACAATTTATTTTTTAATGAATACTAACAAAATATTGGAAAAAAAAGTAATCATGCAAATATTTAACTTTTTGTCAGACGCTTATCACACTTACGAAACGCGTATGATACGTGTAGTTGAAGCGATGACTTACTTCCACGCAAAACAAGTGCACGGATACACCCGATTCTTATCGGGTGTACCCGCGCACTTGTTATGCGTGAACAATGGACAACCCATACGATCTCTTGATCGGTATGGGTTGTCCTTTGTTCTGTAGGTAATCATTCGAAAACTAAAAGAACCAGTTTTTTTTATCTGCGTCAACTTTATATAATTTGATTTTTAACCGACTAGATCAACAAAAGGTCCGTATGTGCGGCGCGGCATTCACCCGTGTCCCACCCGACGTCGGGTGCCGGGTGGTTCAGGTGCGCTATGACCTTTATTCTCTAAGTAAGTATCTATTTATTGCTGTCATTGCTTTTTGTGGATATTTTTTCACATCTGAATACTTCATCTACTGAATTTGAACTTTTAAATAAGTCTTTGTTTCC